CCAAGTGCGGTATTGTACGGATGAGGATGACTCTGGCTAAGCTATTGTTTCCCTGCGGCGGCTCGGTCGGATTTGTTGGTTAGAATCACGCGGCGGCGCACTAGGGATATGTGAATCGGGGCTGGGATGGGCTTGTTGGACTTGGATCTGGAGAGGGGGCAGGGGTTTAGGTGCGGGCTGGGGAACAGGGGGTTGGGGCAGGAGGGTTGGGTTTGTGGTGCGGCGGCGCAACGATGGTGGCACAGTGGCCATGGCGGCGGCGTGGTGTCTGCGGCACTGTTATTGTACGACACTGATACTATAGATTTTTATGAAAAACTGTCGTTGGGCGGTCAGTTTGTAACTGTAAATGTAGAGCCCGTTTGGAGACCTCTTTTTTCGGCTTATCAGGCTTATCAGCCAGCTTTTTCACCAAACACGTAACTTTTACTTTTGTGTGCTGAATTGTGTAATAAGCAGAAAAAGTAAGGTTGGAGTTACTTTTCTGGCTGTATTGGCTGAAGTTACTGTAGAGGACTATTTTAGCTATTTTTACATGTAATTTTTTCTATTATTTATTAATAAAATATATTTTTAAGATATTTTTTCTTGAATCAGCAGAATCAGCCAAAACAGCCACTTCAGCCAGAATTTCATAAATTTCAGCAGAATCAGCCAAAACAGCCGATTTTCGTGCTACCAAACGGGCTCGTAATTATTGGGTCCAAAAATTGTAATTAATTGGGTCGAGTAACTGTAACTAGTCAAATTGAGTAATTAGAATTAATCGGGTTGAGTAATTGTAATTTGTTTTGTTAGGTAATTGTTATTGATCGGATTAACCAACTATAACTCAACGGGTAACTGGTCGGGTCAGGTAATTATAACTGGTCGGGCAACTAATCGGGTCAGGTAAGAAGCGGTAGCAACTGGGATAATGGTTACTGAAATGGTAGTAACTGAGACGGTGGTCACTAGAGCGATAGTAACTTAGACGGTGGTCATCTGTAATTAGTCGGGTCGGGTAACTGTGACTGGCCAGGTCAGGGTGATTGTAACTGGTCCGGTCGGATAATTGTAACTGGTCGGGTTGGGTAACTTTAACTGGTCGGGTCGAGTAACTTCAACTGATCGTTCGGGTAACTGTAACTGGTGACAGTAATTGTAATTGATCGGACCTAAAAATCGATTTTAAGTAACCATAAATTGTCAACTAATAAATTTACTGGAGCGGTACTAATTGTGATGTCGTCAATTGAGTGGTGAATTTTGGATTTTTGGTCACTGGTGAATTTTGGATTTTTGGTCACTAATGATTTTTTGTCATTGATGAATTTTGGTCACTGGTGAATTTTGGATTTTTGGTCACTAATGATTTTTGGTCACTGGATGAATTTTGTAACTATGCCATTGGTAACTGTAACATTGGTCACTGCACATTTGGTCACTGTGACGGGTTACTGTAGCAGACCAGTGGGTTTGGGCTTAGTAAGGGTGTAATAGTCCCTTAAGTATTATTTAGTCTTATTTTTGGAACTTAAAAGAAAAGTCTCTTTTTTTGTCTAAATGCTTTTAATTAGTATTATTTGAGGACAAACCCCTAGTATGAGTTGTTAACGGATCGAATGTGCGTCATTTATATGTAATTGAAATTTAGGAATTTCTCACACAATGGTGCAATTATAATTTATAGGAATCGGGGACTTATTTCAATATTGAGATTGCATATATAGTTGTCTGTCATAAAGGTGCATCCTTATAAATAGAAAAAATTCACTAATATTACTAATGGAAAAGTGGTACGTGGAAAAAATGTGACTTAGTAACTTTTAGTGACTGTATTTGTATTCAAAATTTACATCATAGTGACTACATGTAATAAATACGATGTAAACTTTGAATACAATTACACTGGAGATATCAACATTAACGGATAAACGATCTTCAAAAAATCACTAAGTCATTCCCCGCCAAACCCGATTCCAAATCAGTTCTCAGATCACCGAGATACGTCCAAAACTGTGACCGAGCCCGTGTCCGCCGAGGTTGATTCCAGATCATCAAGATAAGGTCAAAATCGCATCTAAGACTGAACTCATTGCCCACCAAAAGTCCGCACTATAATCGAACTTAGGATCAACCTGCACCTCACAAAGTCAAAGAACTAAGGATCGAGAACATTAAATTACATCACACAAATGAACTGAGGCCACCCTCCTCTCAAATAAATGCATTACCCCCGAGCCCAACTCCGCAGAGCCCATGGATCGAGGGAGATTGTGGACTTGTCTGTTTTCACTATTCATGTTCCACACAAGCGATTGTTGATTACATCATTAGCATAACAGCTGTTCTGGGCATGTCAACTAGACGATTGTACAAGAGAATCAAATCAGTTATGTACAGTACCAATCAGTCAGTTATTCGCATTCTCTTACCAATCAAACTTTACACGTGTCACTATATTATTAGACTAGCATATTTTTAATTATGACTAATTTAAAGTGAACACTCTTTTTCAGCATTGATTAATGGCAAAGCACAAACGTATGTGTTACTCCAATAGACTTCCGTGATTGCTTGCTTTCTTGTTGATATGCTCCTTCCATTTTTCTTTAAACATTCCACTTTCTTCATACCATTCTTTCAAACTTTCACTATTGACCATTCACTTGCTTGAATAAACACACAATTTTCCTCTGCCAACAAAGTCAATTACTACAACTGTCAATATAAAAATAATGTATACTTTTTCCTAACATTTTTTTTTAAAAAAAATCATGCACCTGGTCGGGCAGCATTATGGCCCGAAAATGGTGGCAATGCACAAGAACTCGCTGGTATTCGGACACTGTTTTCCTCTCCATCCTCAAGTAGGGCTATTAACGAGCCGAGCCGAGCCTGAACACCTAAAGCTCAAGTTCGGCTCGATAATGAATTAACGGTGTTTGGGTTCGAGCTCGAAGCTCGGCGAGCTTTACAAATGAGGCTCGTGTTTGGCTCGATAGGCGTTTGATGTTCGAAACGAGCGCTCGATAAGCTCGATAAATATGGTTGAATTTAAAATTTTAGGTGATGCTCGTTAATAGGCTTGTGCTCGAATGATTCGACAAGTATTCGGTTCGTTAATAAACATATTTAAATTCATAAAATCATACTAATTATATTTAAATTTTTATTATATATAAATTATATTTATAATTTCAGGGTGTTCGATAGGCTCGAGTTCGAACCGAGCCGAAAACTACTATGTTCGAGCTCGGCTCGACTAATTTTTCAAATTTAAAACTGAGCTCGGGTTCGAGTTCGAAGGCTCGTTAAGCTCGGCTCGTTAGGTTCGAAACCGAGCTCGAACTCGAATAGTTCGATAAAAGCTCGGTTCATTAACAGCCATATGCCGAAGTGCCGAACCCATGAGATTGTTGCCATATTCGATGTTCAGGTGTAAAAAGAATGTAAGATGAAAATGAAACCAGTTGCCGCCAGTGGCGGAGTCAAGAAAACGCGTCAGGGGGTCGAAAATCAACTATGTATAACATGAAAAATGGTAGATCGTTTTTAGACAATGTCCGAGTTGAATGTTTCATTTGTAGTTTAGATACATAGGCATTCGTAAACAACAAGACAAATTGTTTTTCCTATGTTTCTGAAATCATGTCACGTAAGTAACGGGTTAATTATACATTATTTATAAAATTTGGGAAAATAATCAATTTTATGCATCAAATTTTGCTGATTTTACATTTAGATGTCTGATTTTCCAGAAGTCAGAACTTTTTACTCGTAATGAGTTACGGGGTCCATAATATATCAAATCGAAGAGATTTTAGAGCTCTATACTCTCAAACTTTCAGCGGGGTCGTTTGACCACCCTGACCCTCCCTTGACTCCGCCCCTGGTTGTGGCAAATGGGCGGCAACCAGGGGAGGAGCTACTAGGGGGTCAGGGTGGTCAGCCGACCCCGCTGAAAATTCAAGAGTGTGGAGCTCTGAAATATCTTCGATTTGATATATTATGGCTCTCGTAACTCATTACGAGTAAAAAGTTACGACTTCTGCAAAATCAGCACTATTTAAGTTTGAAATTAGTAAAATTGTGATGCGTAATATTAATTATATTCACAAAATAGCGTGTAATTCACTCATTACTTACGTGACATGACTTAGGGACAGAGCAAAGACAACATATCTTACTACTACGAGTGCCTACTCAATAAATGATTCTTTTCTAGTAAGAAATCTTGATACTAAACCGAGTAAGATCGAAGAGAACCATAGAGTATTAGGGTACGTAAGACAATGAGTCTCATTTGAGGTACTCAACTCAAGCCGTATAAAACAAGTTTATAATATATGTGACATATACGAAGTATATTAACTACATATACTCTATTAGTTTCATTTAAACTATCATTTATCTAAGTTACATTCAATTCGGGTATGTTTTTTTTTGTCTAAAAATAATCTACCGTTTTGATTCTATGTAAATTTGATTTTAACCCCGCTGAGTCATTTTTCTGGCTCCGTCCCTGGTGATATGTAAGTGGATGTTTCCGTCCCAAGAAGGTTAAGGAGTAAGGATAGGTAACCATTTTTTCATGCATTTTTAGGAACATTCTTATGTGGCATGAATATATTGGGTAATGCAAAGTAGATCAACTTTTCATCACATTATAGTAGTAGGATAAATTTACTACTGTCTGGAAAGGGATGAAAGGAAACAGTCATAGCATTGCCACCGGCCCACCGGGAAAACTGATATTGCAGTTTAATACGTAGTATAAAGGTAGGTACTAAACGTAGGTTACTTTTGGACTTTGGGCATTAAAGTTGTTTTACTTTGATTTAAAGGACGCGAATAAATTCTTTTCAATTCTTTATTCTGGAATTAATAAGTCTATACAAAGAAAATAAGATTTAACACGAGTCAGCTTCCTTCAACTTGTCTGGCTAAGTACTAATCCATCCATTTTGTGTTTGATTAAAATATTTTCTCTTTCATGAGCATATATGAAAATTATAAAATTAACACATTAAGGAACTATACTAAAATTTGTATTGAATTGCTAAAAATGAATCGAAATGTGTCATGAATTAGATTTAAAAAAAAAAAAGAGGAACAAAAAAGAATAAAGTTGACTGTATGAATGGAGCTCTAACATATAGTTTTACCCATATGTCAATAACCTTTTACTTTTCGTTGCATTAGTCCAGCTCCTCCTCATTTCACCATCATTCTTCACAGTATCTTTCTTGTTTCTTCTTTGATCTCCTCTATCCTGTGATGAAGACTCTGATCCATGAATCCATCACCACATCAAATGATTTGCTCTACATTCACCACTCTACCCCAATGGATCCAAAGTTTCTAAGCGGTCCTAGTAGTAGTTTCTCAGGCATTAACAGTCTCGCCGAGAACAAGTCTGCTACAGCAGAACAAGATGAGGCAGGAGACTACCTAGATGCGACTCTAAATTACCTAAGCCAGATGATAATGGAGGAAGAAGACCTGGAGAACCAGCCTTTCATGCTCAGTGAATGCATGGCTCTCCAAGCCACTGAGAAACACTTATCTGAGGTACTCAAAGGCACCCACAACCAGCCTGACGGTCTCTCCTGGGGTAGTCATCCTAGTAACTCTTCATCCGACTCTTTCTTGAGTCCTTTTGAGGGCGGACATGGTTTAGTATCTCGGGCAAGCGGAGTGGAGGAGACCGAGAAGGAACGGTCACCCTCAAAGGGAAGAAGGGACAATGATAGTCCTTTTGAGTGCCAACACGATTTGGCATCTCGGGCTAGTGGAGGAGAGGAGGAAACCGAGAAGGACGGATCACCTTCAAAAGGAAAAAAGAACCATGATAGTCCTTTTGAGTGCCAACACGGTTTGGTATCTCAGGAAAGCGGAGTGGAGGAGACTGAGAAGGACCGAACACCCTCAAAAGGAAAAAGGAACCATGATAGTCCTTTTGAGTGTCAACATGGTTTGGTATCTCGGGAAAGCGGAGGAGTGGAGGAGACCGAGAAGGACCGATCACCCTCAAAGGGAAAAAGGAACCATGGTTCATCGCCTGACAATGATTCTACAGAAACCCAGAAAAGGAACAACAAGTACCTGGCGGCAGGTTATTCGGATGAATCTGAGCCAATGGACGATAGGTACTACGATTCCTTTCCATGTCCCATAAACAAAAAAATAGTTGCATGTCTCCCTAAGAATATAGAAAAATCTGAATCTAAGGCGAGACGGAGAAACGCACGAGGCAAGAAGAAACAACAAACCGAAAAGGACTATGTGGATTTCAGAGGCTTACTCACTCAATGTGCACAGTCCCTGACAATTAATGACATCAAGGCAGCTAACGAGACTCTTAAGACAATAAGGCTTTACTCTTCTCCTTATGGCAACGGAACAGAAAGGATGGCATTTTATCTTGCCAATGCGCTTGAGGCGCGCTTAAATGGAATGGGAACATCAATGTACACATCCAAGCATTCAAACAATATTTCAGCTGCGGATATGGTGAAAGCTTTTCAGATGTATATCAACGCAAACAGATGCATCGGAAAGCTTGTTGCTGCAGCAGGAGCAACTAGCCTGCATATCATAGATTTTGGAATTTTATATGGTTTTAAATGGCCAAGTCTCATCCAAGGTCTCTCGATGAGGCCCGGTGGGCCTCCAAGGCTTCGTATCACTGGAATAGACTTGCCCCAGCCCGGCTTCCGTCCTGAAGAGCTGGTCAAGGCCACAGGAATTCGACTGGAAAAATATTGCAAGAGATTTAATGTCCCGTTTGAGTATAAAGGCATAGCAACGAAATGGGAGAGTATAACACTCGAAGATCTCGAAATCGACAGGGACTTCGACATGCTGGTTGTAAACTGCTTGGACAGGCTAGGTACCGTGCCAGATGAGACGATGGTGCCCGATAGCCCAAGGGACATTGTACTCAATCTCATCAGGAACGTCAATCCAAATATGTTCATCCATGCGGTTGTGAACGGGGCCTTCAATGCCCCGTTCTTTGCCACACGATTCCGGGAGGCAGTCTTTCACTTCTCCTCAATGTTTGACATGTTAGATGTGACTGTGCCAAGTGAAGACACAGACAGGCGGCTCTTTGAGGAAATGGTGCTTGGAAAAGATGTGATGAATGTGATAGCTTGTGAAGGAACAGAGAGAGTTGAGAGGCCTGAGACGTACAAGCAATGGCATGTTAGAAGCCTCAAGGCTGGACTCCAGCAATTGCCACTCGATCAAGAGATCCTCAAGTTTGTAATGGAGAGCGCGAAATCGGTTTTCAATAAGAATTTCTCCGTGGAAGAAGACGGGAACTGGATGTTGCAAGGGTGGAAAGGAAGAGTACACCATGCTTTCTCCTGTTGGAAGCCCATTAACCACTAGTAGAGATTGTTTTGTTGCGAATTTGCAATGTCCATTAGAATCAACTTTATTTTTCATTCAAGTCAGTAATACGAACCTTCTTGTTAGATTGACTTATCATTAACTCATATGATGCACATATAAACTCAAGCAAAGAATTGCTACGACTTGAAGTTGAAACGCCCAAGTACCCAAGTAACATGATAACTTCTGATTTCGCATGGCCAGAGAATGGGACAAATCTTAAGACTAACATGATTCGCTCATATAGATCATGATAGGGATTCCATGCATATACATCCAGCAAAGCTTAAAGCACTATATCCACTAGCACTGACTAATAAAAAACATGCCAAGGGAAAACTATCCAAAAAAATCTTTACACACTCCTTTTTATGTTGATACTTTTGTCGCATAAGATCACTCAATTCCAACTTTGCACACTTGGGTTGCTTCTGGAACTTCCTGTTGCCACTTGGAGATGGCCTATTATAACAATGCACATATGTATGTCTTTTCTTCAGCAAATGGGTATCAGAAACATTGCCATCTTTCTCTTCCTCTTGTGATCTCCCTTTGCATCTGTGCTTGAGTAGCTCAGTTTTGATGAGTACTTAAGCCCATCATAAGTCATAACTTCACAAATTTCTCTGGAGCAATAAGGATTATGCAAGAGCCAGATAAGTTTAAATATGAAATGAATGATGTCTTGGGATAAGAAAGTTGAAGTAATTTAATATTATGTACCTGAAGCTCAGAAGAAGAATGAGATACTACTTGGCCATTCAAAAGCCATATACACTTCAACATCTCAAGAAAAGATCAAGCACAAACTCTGAAATTCTAAAATCATTGCCACGCTTATGTAAAACTTATGACACCATACCTCATATTTTGACTTCACACTAAATATATGATTTGCATCTTGAAACTGTTTAATGTTAATACTTTATATAGGAAAATAAGTGAACCATATATAATAATAAAAATAACAAAATCATTATACTCCCTCCATCCCAAAAAATACTTCCCAGTTTGTTTTGGAAAGTGGGAATCATGTAGAAATAACCAAATCATTATACTCCATATTAAGAAAGGGGGAATAATGCGGAAATGTAAGGTAGTTATTGCGTAAGAAAAAAGTAAATGAATGCTAGTTACACAAATCATTCTATGAAGGCAAGAAGGGAAATGAGAAGAAGTTTTTGGGGCATCTCAAAAGGGTAAGGTTTTTAGTTAAACTGAAGACTGTAGTTACCTATTAGAAATTACTTCACTTGCTACATAACTTGTTCCAGAGGCTTCGGAATTGCAATACTTTAGCCCTTCATAAATTATTTTTTATCAAAAAAATAATGCCTTCTAAAATATAAAGCCAGTAGCGAGAATTTAAATAATGCGTCCTGAAAATATTTCAAGTCATTCAAATCATATACTCACAACAATAACATGGTCAAATTTTCGAAATGTCATCCAACCATTATTTCCCATCTTTCCATAATAACAACACTGAAATTGGAAAGTCATTCAAATTTCATCATCTAAATGCCAATCAGAAAGGGAATTAAAATGATCAGAATCAAAAAGTGAAAAGCTGTTAAAATGTACTCCCTCCGTCCCATTTATTTTGTCCCGTTTTACCTTTTCGGGAAGTCCTACTTATATTGTCCCATACCATATTTGGCAAAGTTTGTGTGGCTCTAAATCATTCTTACTTTATTCGATCTTACTTTATCAATTAATATCAACCACACAAACCCACTTTTCTTAATAACCGTGCCACCCTCTTCCGGGACAATATAAATGGGACGGAGGTAGGGCTGAGCAAAACCCGATCCGACCCGAAAAACCCGATATTTTTTCGGATATTATCCGAACCGAAGTGGATATCCGACCCGAAAAACCCAAAACCGAAAATCCGATTAGTATTGGGCCTAGATCGGGTGGCGGGTAGAAGGGACACAACTGATCCTCCCTCTGTCTTTCTTTCACTCTTTTAGTTTTTCTCTTGTTTCTTCTTTATCAGTTTTGATGTTTGAAATTGTGATTTTGGAAGACAAAGAGTCTGCCGTAGACATAGGAATCCCCACTTGCTATTGATCTCAAATGAGTTTTATATTAAACTCAAATGAGTATACTCATAAAAGAAATGAACAAACATAACTGGATATTAAACACATTAAAAATGAGCTTTGTATTAAACTCAAATGAGTATACGCTTAAAAGAAATGAATTTACACAACTGAATATTAAGCACATTAAAAATGAGTTTTATGTTAAACTTAAATGAGTATAACGCCAAAATCAATGAGCATGCACAAATAAGGTTTTGAATTTTTTATACTCATTTTTAAATTATGTATGCTCATTTGGTACTGCTTTATGCTCATTTTAAAATGATGCACATATCAACTATAACGCCCAAAATAAATGAGCATACACAAATGAGCTTTTGAATTTTTGATACTCATTTTGTAAATTATGTATGCTCAGTTTGTACGGCTTTATGCTCATTTTAAAATGATGCACATATCAAACATATCATTCTACATTAGATTCACATATTGAAATTAATTATAAACATAATCTAAGAATTTTTTATAAACGAAAAAATAATAAAAAGAAATTGAATTACAAGATATGAATCAGAAATCACTGGTGCTCATTGTTAGACCTCTAATACTCAAAAGAACAGACTCGATGCTCATCACAATCGCATAATGAAAATCACTAGTGCTTATAATTTCAAGTTGATGCTCAATGAAAATGTCTTGATGTTCAATTAAATGTATTTATGATTTTCATATCTATTCTCATTTTATAAGTTATGTATGCCCAACGAGTATTCATGTTATGCTCTTTTGTAAAATGACATAACAATGCATATTTCAAAAGTATCATATTGCATTAAATTCGCATACTGAAGTTCATAAGAGTTGATTATAGATATAATTTAATAAGTTTTTATAAAGAAAAAAATAAGGAACAAAAAGTAAATTCGAAGAGATGAAGCAGGGACCACGATGCTCATTGTTATGCTTCTAATGCTCACCAAAATATCTATCATGCTCACTAGACATGGTTTAATGCTCATTTACTACAACACGCGAATTTCATGTAAATTACAAAAATGCCACCGGTTGTACGGTTCTCACCGTACAACCGGCTGTACTATATACGCTTCCGTCATAGGTGTATGTAGGGTTTCACACACCAAACCCCTTTGTGGCATAGAAATTCGGTGGATTACCCCCGATTTAGAAAATGCATCAAACCCCCTTGTGTTATTATTAATCATGCGCAGAATCCCTTTTATGAACAAATTGAATTGTCAAAACATGAAAAATGATTAATATTTTTGTAAAATTTAGATATTTTGACAAATTTACTTGCATATTCAATCATAATATTAAGAAAAGTGATTTTAAAATTATTAAATTTATTCATAAAAGGGATTTTGCGCATGATTAATAATAACACAGAGGAGTTTGATGCATTTTCTAAATCATAAGGGGCTAATGTGCTAAATTTCTATATCACTGGGGGATTTGGTGCATTAAACCCGTGTATGTTGTGGTTGAACAGCACGGGCGTTATACATGCCAGAGTTGAATATATACATCTGCATAGGGTGGGCGCGGTCCGAAACGGTCCTGTAAATTAGTAAAATCTGTAATGTATCCGTGAGGTTTTTAACGGTCCGGTACGGCCCGGTTTCGAAATGGTACAAAATGGTACGGTACAATGCCAAACACATGCTAAAATATTTGAACAAATCTTGCAATTAATAGATATCATCACACCAATCAACTCACATGAAATGTTGATACAATAAATTGCATATATAGGACTAAAATTCACAAATAAACAAATAGTGCAACACAACTAAGAAAGAGTATAGCAAAACGATGACGCACAAGATAAATATCATCCTTAACTTACTTAGTTCCTGTGAAAATATATAAAAAAAAGAATATCATCAAATTGATGAATACTAGTATAATAGAAGTCCTCAACGTTCTAATTCTTCATTCATTCTATGTTAAATATTACTCCGTAGTTCTAATTTGATTTATAGTGGAACCTTGACAGCTAAGATTTAAACCATATTCATTAAGTTGTAAAATTGCACAAGCATGATAGAATAAAAAGTCATGTACGCTAACATTACTAGAAATGAAGTCATTAATGATTTCTCTAGAATTTTAATATTCTTTCAATACATACCAAAATATAACATAAATTATCTAAAAAGAAAAAATAACAATATATATATATATATATATATATATATATATATATATATATATATATATATATATATATATATATATATATATATATATTATAAACACACACATTTAGCTATTTTAAGGATGCATAAATAAATACTTGGGCTATAAAACTGTTGGTCTATAAAAGAGATCTATTGAATTGGTATAGAAAAAATATAAAAAATTTAAGTGCATTATTTTCAAAGGGTTCGGTCCGGTATTTTTCGGTTCTCAAAATCTAGGACCGGTCCTGTACCCGTTTCAAACGGTACGGTTTCGGTATGGGACAAAAATATATAGAACCGTTCAAATACCCGGTATTCGGTTCGATATCATTACGGTACGGTTCAGTACCGGTTACGTTCGGGTTTTATGCCCACTCCTACATCTACAACTAGAACACATTAGACTATTCCATCTTTTGTAAAGGAGAAGGTTGATCAGAGAATTTGGTGAGGCTTTTCCTCTTTGTACAATAAAAATCATTATACTTTATTTGAAGTATAACACTTACAGCTTGTTTAGTCACACCGAAATTGGTTGAATCGACTGATTTTGCTAAATTTATGAAGTTCTGGCTGAAATGACTGGATTGTCGGCTGATTTATGAAAAGTTATACTACGTATTTAAAAGAAATGTATTAGGAAATGCATTTAATTGGGTAGTTAATACTTAATACATGAAAATTACTTGATTCTCATTTTTTATTTTCACCCCTAGTAAATTTGTAATTAAAATTTGAGACTTTGTGTACCCAATTGATTGATAAAATAGTACATTGACTCAATTGACTTTTTCAATATAGTACATGGACTCATTTGACAGTTTTCCCTATTATTTGGGAAAGGGCATGCCCCTCGAGCCTCAACTAAGGTCTGCCTGTGAAGAGATGTATAACACACTTTTAGTGTGAAAGATCAAATGATAGCATTGGAGTGTACGGTGGTGAAGGTCTTGACTCTTATACTATGATATGATGGAAGCGCCTAAAGAGTTATGGTGATATACATAAGCTCATACGAGGAAGAGTGTTCTGGCAAGACCGGTGGCGTTGGAGCCGACTGTAGAGGTAGATCTGATTTTGAATGGATATCTAAACTCCTTGATGAAGATTGAAGATCCTCCGTCGATTCCCACGATGTGGCCGTAAAGGGTGAGGTTACTTTGAACACCAAGCAGACTCTAAATTCTTCTCCAGTCACAATTTATGAAGACTGTGAAAGCTGTGGAAAATGAAGACGATGATTGCATAATCTTGGAAGAAGACCCAAATAAGCCAATTGGAGTGAATAATGATTATGACCGCAATCATGATTCTGATGATTTTTTCCACAAGTGTGGTAGACACACACACATGCCAAAATAAATGTATACTAGCATGAATAAATACCTTAGATTGATTATTTGTGAATCTACAACGGTAAGTCTGAAAAATAAGAGAAACTTTGTTGGGTTTTATTCTTCTATGTATGGAATTATCTTTTCATCACATGACAAACTATTTACTAATTAGTTACAAGTTACAACATAAATGGAAAATTATTTACTAATCACATTATGTGTATATGGTTTGATTCATGAATTTCAATTAAATTTTTATATTCAAACGGTCCATTCTTAAATCTCATTGTGTTTGTTGAGTTATTTTTATGTGGGACACTTGCAATATTTGTGTGCCATCACGTCTTGTATGGTGTCATAAATCATAACTGTCTAGTATGTGATTATAAAATTTCGAGCATAACCTTTTTGTTATTCAAGTTGTTGATTTGAAAATAATTATGGATACCTATGATCATAATTTAGCTCGCTCTTCTTTCAAAAATCACGACTGTTTCACTATATATGCACGAAACAGTTATGAAGTAATACGAGATTTGTATTCAGCCTCACAATGAATGTTTATTAAATAGCTCGGTCTACAATTTTTTCTAGCCTCATAGTGAATGTCACATTCATATGTGACACTCACTTATTGGATGTTGAAAACTTAGATATATAATTTTTTAACATTCAATAAGTACATATCACATATGAATATACACAATATCAAGTGCATCAAGGACATCAATATAAGCAAATGGACTTGGACGGCCAAAAGGTATGCACCCCTGTGCTTTCAAAGAAAAACATATAGGTAATGTATGTATAAACTTTTGCTAACTTTTTTTTTCATGTTTTCTTTGATGTTTATTTTCCTAATGAAGAATCAAATGACAAGTGTGCGAGAAGGTACTACATAGTTCATATAGTCTATATATTTGGTGGGAAAGAATTAGGCAAATTTGTTTAATCTGCTTTAATATTTAAACTTTTCTTATATTTTCATTTTTATATAGGCAAATTAGTGTATTGAGTCAGATTTATTTAAACTTTTCTTATATTTTCAGTTGTAGCAAAAGTTCACACCCATGTACGTTTGAATTGGTTTGTAGCATATTAGTAAAATTTTAAGGAAGGATGTATTTAAGACATATTTTGAAGATTCAACACATTTTGAAAGATCAACTAATTAAAAATTTGTGCTGATCTTCTTAGAGAAATAAAAAATTTATATCTTCATGAGACAATTAATATCATTATTACTTAAAAAAAGCAATGCTAGCACCGTAATGTACCCCAAAATATTAATTAAATATATACGAAAATATATGTATACTCCGTATAAAAATACACTTTTTTCAAAATATACCTTTTTTTGTAACAAAACATTCCATAAAAACATCATTTCAAGAATTTTAAAGATTTCAACTAAGGACCTTACACTTTTTTAGATAGCCCTTTTTAGATAGTTTTGATAGGGTTGAGTGCAGGAAGGTTTTGATACCAAGAATGTCTTTGGCTCCATCTGATGTGAGATTACCTTTCAAGTTTGAAACAAGACAGTTTCCTTTGATTGTCTCATATGATATGACGATAAATAAGAGTCAAGGACAATTGTTGTCCAATGTTGGATTAGTCCTGAAAAACCCGGCCTGTTTTCAGTCATGGTCAGTTATATGTTGCGCTTTCACGTGTCACTAACCCTGCGGGTTTGAAAATAGCTATATGTGACGCAGATGGGAAAAGTCCCAATGTAACAACGAACATTGCATTTAAGGAAGTGTTCCGAAATTTGTAATAAGTTTTGTTTTCAAATTGTTATTATTCCAAACTTTTTAAGGAACATTGTTTTGATTTAAATTGATATGAGTACACATGATACTTTAGTGCATGCATCGAAAGTTATTAAACTTACATATTATTTTCAAATTTCAAATATTTGATTTTTATTGATATTAATACACGTGAAACTCTAATGTATGCATCGAAAGTTATTAAACTTACGTATTGTTTTTAAATTTAAATATTTAATTTTTTATCATGCGCATTATATTTTTGCATGTAATAATTTCCCATGCATCACACGGGTAGAATACTTGTTACTTAGAATCGCAAACCGATTTGAGATGAGCTTAAAGTCTGAGGGTGTTGTAACATGCTGAGTTGTGGAATTGAGATTTTGACTAGGGTTGTTTAAAAAAGACGTACACATCTATAGGTAAAGCACCTTATTTCATTTGTTTTGATGGCTTTTTTAAAAATGTGTATGATAGAAGTCTTTATTGCTTTTGCCAAAAAAAGAAGTCTTTATTGCTACTATTGATGTTATTGTTATTATTATCATTATCATTATTATTAGTATCATTATAATTGTTATTATTATTGTTATCAAATCGTTTTCCTTCATCTGAAATCTTTCTGTTATGATCTGAATCCTTTTTATCTGGTCTGATCTGATTGAGTTTTGTTGTTGTTGTTGTTATTATTATTACTATTAATATTATTATTGTTGTTGTTGTTATTAGTATTGTTATTGTTGTTATCATTGTTATTGTTGTTGTTGTTAATATTATTATTACTATTATTGTTAATGTTTATTATTATTATTATAAGTATATTATTAATTAGCCTATTGAAAGAGGAACAGTTCCAGCAGGTCTTGAGGCTATGCGGGTAGCGAAGAAATCCTGAAGCCGGACATAAAAAATCTTAGATTTTCAATTTTCAGTGTGAAACGATGGCTTCCGATTTTCAAGTTGCAACTTCCTTAGCGGCGGCAAAAATAAGAGAAGACAATAAGGATTAGAAAACTAAAAGTGGCCGGAAATTTCATTCATTGATGGGGATTTATTTGATGCGTCCGTAAGTGATTTGCAGGAGTGGAAGGGCATTAACGACACACACTCATATTAAAAATATAATTTTCCCTCAAGTTGAAGTTATTTACCTAATTTGCATACCTATTATTGCTTTTTGCTTTTGAGGTAAAAGTGATTAAAATTCTGGAGAAGTTTAGTTTTGCAAACACAAATTTTGACTTTTTTTAGCAAAAATGCACAAAAGTATTATGGACAAACAAAGCATACTCATTCTTAGTTGTTGCAAACAAAGCCTTAGAATAAGACTACATTGACTCACCCACCCTTACCCCATATCCCTTACCCCACCCACCCCCACCCTATCCCTTTAACCCTTACCACCTGTCCCTACCTTGACCCCCACCCCCGACCCCACCCCTACCCCATCCTACCCTACACCCCCTACCTGTACCCCTTACCCTACCCCCTTTACCGCATAACACCTGCCCCTTCCTCAACCCACCCCCGCCCCCAATCCCACCTCCGTACAGTAGGGTGGGGGTACCGTGAGGGGTTGTAGGGGTAGAGGGTAAGGTCGTGGTAAATACAGGGGTAAGGAAGGTGTAGGGGTAAAGGGTGTGGAATTGGGGGGGGGTAAGGTGTGGGGTAGTGATAGGGATGGGGTACGAGGTATAGGGCGGGGTAGAGGTTAAGGGTATGGGTACACGTACGAGGTGACCCTCACATATTATATTATATACTTGTGTTCATGAATGTTTGTGTGTCTATATATGTATAATGTTATTTTGGACATTTTAATGTTAACCGGTGTTTTAAATCCTTTGAAGTAAACGTACAGAATGAGCTTACAACACCGCTTATTTTATGTGCCGCTTATTAACGCGAGTCTTAATAAGCACTGTTTAATAACCATTGAAGTAAACGTGTCTAAAATTAATATTTTCAAGTGACAACTTCTACTTAAAAAAACGCTTCTCGACTTTTGGGTGAAAAAATGTTTTTCACTTTTTCTATTATACAAAAAACACTTATTTTACCAAACATTACCAACTTTGACATTCCAAAATCACTTTTTTCTAAAAAAAAACTACGAAGTATTAACTTTTATTACCAATCATTTTTTTTTAAATCACCTCAAAAAATGTTTTTTTAAGCAAAAGTGCTTACAAACAGCTCATAAAACAACAATTACTTCAGCTCATAAAACAACAATTACTTCTTAGTTCTGGCTCACAAATAGCAGACGGGTCTACCCATGTTACGGACAACAAACTTTTTAGATTGTCTTTAGATGTGCTGTGCTAAGAACCTTCAACCTTTTTGACAATTAAAAGAAGGGGACTATGGTGTACACAAGTTGTACACAAAATGTGTACATTGTCTGTGTACACAGACAATTTGACATCAAGTATTGCCTCTTTTTAAACGAATTGTGTGTACACAGGCAACTAGGAGGTCTTGTGTACAACTTGTGTATACACTAAGCATTTTCCTTAAAAGAAAGGACCATTCCTTAAAAGAAAAGACCATCTTCGAAAGTTCTAAATTTCTAATCATCCTCTATCCCCTCCATTCTTATTGCTTCTTCTCTGTACTCTCAAATCTGTGGCAAAGTCAATGGAGTTCGTACGTTATTGAGGCTCTGTTCGAAGAATTCATCGCCACATCAAATGATCCAATGTGTATGAGCGGACAAAGATTCTTCAGTCCTAATAGTAGTTTCTCAGGCATGAACAGTTTTGCCGAGAACAACTCTGCTGCAACCGAATTAGATGAAAAGGAGGGGGGTTGTACGGATCCGACACTAAGGTTCATAAGCCAGATGCTAATGGAGGAAGAAGAGTTGGAGAACCAGTCCTGCATGCTCACCGAATGTCTGGCTCTCCAAGCAACTGAGAAGCAATTATCCGACGTCCTCCACGGTACCGGCATCCAGCCCGGCGGCTACTCCTCCGGTAGTCATCTCATTCACTCTTCATCTGAAACTTCGTCGATTCCAATTGAGTTCGATCATGGATATGTATCTCGATCTAGCGGGAAACGGATCCACGATTCTCCATTACCCGACAATGAATCTGCAGAAACCCACCAGAGAAACCCTAAGTACTTGGCGGCCAGTAATTCGGAAGAATCCGAAGAGCCCCTGGATGATACCTTCTACGACGCCCTTCTCTGCCCCGTAGACAGAACCAATTCCGAACCTAAGGCTGCAGGGAAGACCCGCCGCCGTAGGAAGAAGAAAGGAGAAGTGAAAGTGAAAACGGAATCCGTCGATGTCAGAAGATTGCTCACCCAATGTGCACAATCCATATCGAATTGCGACATGAAGGTGGCGACCGAGACTCTCAAGAAGATAAGACGGCACTCTTCTCCTTACGGGAACGGAATAGAAAGGACGGCGTTCTATATCGTCAATGCGCTCGAGGCACGCGCAAACGGAATGGGGACATCACTCTTTGCATCTCAGGATCCTAGCTCAGCTGCGGATATGGTGAAGGCCGCTCAGATGTATATCCACGCAGTCCCCTTCATGGCAGTATCAACCATGATGGCCAACTTATGCATAGGAAAGCTTGCTGATGCAGAGGGAGTAACCAGCCTCCACATCATAGATTTTGGAGTTTCTTATGGTTTTCAATGGCCAAGTTTCATCCAAGGTCTCTTGGTGAGGCCCGGTGGGCCTCCCAGGCTTCGCATCACCGGGATAGAATTTCCCGGGCCCGATTTCCACCCCAATGAGCGGGTCAGGGCCACGGGCCTTTGGCTGGAGAAATACAGTAAGAGATTTAATGTCCCATTTGAGTTCAAAGCCATAGCACGGAATTGGGAGAGTATAACACTTGAAGATCTTGAGATCGACAGGGCCGATGACGTGCTGGTTGTCAACTGCTTGGACAGGCACGGTAACGTGCTGGATGATACGGTGGTGCTTAACAGCCCGAGGGACATGGTACTCAATCTCATCAAGAACATTAATCCAGATGTGTTCATCCACGCGGTCGTCAATGGGGCCTACAACGCCCCGTTCTTTGATGTGCGGTTCCAAGAGGCACTCTTTCACTTCTCCTCGCTGTTTGACATGTTAGATGTGACTCTTCCAAGTGAAAACACAGAGAGGCGACTATTTGAGGAAACTGTTTTTGGGAAAAGATTGATGAATGTGATCGCTTGTGAAGGAACAGAAAGAATTGAGAGGCCCGAGACATACAAGACATGGCAAGTTCGGAGCCTTAGGGCTGGACTCCAACAACTCCCTCTCGATCAGGAGATCGTGAAGTCTGTAACTCATAAAGTGAAATCAGATTACAATAAGAATTTCTCCGTGGAAGAAGACAAGAACTGGTTGTTGCAAGGATGGAAAGGAAGGGTTCACCACGCTGTCTCTTTTTGGAAGGCTAATAACAGCTAGTCGAATTGTTATTTTTGTGGCAAATTAGCAATGTCTATTACAGTCCATGGACACCAGACCTGTGCAAGTTTCTTCCTCTTTTTGATCTCCCTGTGTATTTGCGCTTGAGTTAGCAATGTCTATTACAGTCCATGGACACAAGAACTGTGCAAGTTTCTTCCTCTTTGATCTCCCTGTGTATTTGCGCTTGAGTTGTTCAATTTTGATGAGCTCACAGCCCTATCTTTACTTAATGCGTTTTGTCTAGAGCAATCAGGATTGTATAAGAGGTAAATGAGTTTGAATCTTTATGAAATGAAGTGTTGTGATAATAAAATTTAAGTGATCGGATATGATGTAAATGAAGCTCAGAACAACATGACTACTACATGGCCAAATAATTTTTTTTATACTACGTACGTACATTTCAACATCTTTAACACATTCCATTTATATGCTTGCACTTTAAAACATTAACTTATAGAAATATTAATTGACATACCTTTTTTTGGATGAAATGTAAATATATATTAGCACCCAAAGAAAAATTATACATCCTAGATCTCTTAAACCCCCCCCCCCCCCCAACTAAAGTGGGGGTTGGGAGAAGGTTTTGATTCGTTCTAAGTCAAAAACAAGCTAGGGCCCAAGTATACAATACTAGGTCCCTCACCATAAAAAAAAGGCATCAGTGCTGCAAAACAATGCACGCACACATATCTAAAGTCATCAAAAATATACATTGCAAAAGATGTTGCAAGATGCACACATCCGTATGCCCAAAAAATAATCAAAGTGTTGCAAGAAGCACACACTATAGTCCAAGTATGTCGCGGCTACATAGGGAGCATGCAGTCTCCAGCTCAAAATCTGATCATATCATGTGGGTATATACTAAATAGTATCTTATACACCACATGCTTTATCTTTGCCACGATCTCTTCAATAGTCCTGTTCGCTCCATCAAAGCGGTTTGCATTTCTTCCATGCCATATCCAGTAGATCGTTGCACAAAAGGCTAGCTGGATCGATTTTGCCATGACAGTTGAGAGTTGACCCCTTGTGCTTCCTCGTGATCCACTTGACCGCACTATGGAGTGTTGTCACCTGGTTGTCCATCCCCATCCAAGTCCGAATCCTGTCTCAAATCTGCCCTGCAAAAGGACAAGCAAAGAAAAGGTGTGGAATTGATTTTAGTCCATCCTCTCATAAGTCGCATCTATTAACTATATGTATATAACCAAGGCTATCCTGTGTAGGAAGCCGGTTTCTAAAAGCCAACCACGTATTGAAAGAGAACTTCGGAGGGATATAAGACTTCCAAATGAAGCTCATCCAGATTCGAATAGTCCCTTTAATTCTTAAAAGATCATATACCTTTGACGAAATCAGTTTACCATTAATGCTCCTACTCGCAAGGCCCATACTGGTGTCATTCAAATTATTGAAACGTCCACAAATGTTGGTCTTGATGTGATACAATTTTTTCATCAACTGTGAATCACGGCTGTGTGGGATAAAATCCCACACCGTTTTTCCGCAAAGATATACACCACTGACCCATTTAACCCATAGAGTGTCCTTTTTGTTGTGGACATCCCAAAGGATGCGAGAAAGGAGAGCTTGATTCCAAACGGTGGCATTACGAATGCCAAGACCCCCTTCCTCTTTTGGGAGACAAATGTCGTCCCAAGCCACTTTGGAGTATTTTCCTTCCCATAGGAACACTCTACAAATGGACACAATCCGATCAATAATTGCTCTCGGTACCGGGAAAACCTTTAACCAGAATGATTGAACGCCTTGAATAACCGAACGTATGAGCTCGAGTTTCCATGCATACGAAATGGTCTTGACATTCCAAACATTCAAAAAATCAGTAATTGTTTCAATGAGAGGCGCATGTTGCGCAACTGAGATTTTAAATGGTGCCAAAGGTATTCCGAGGTATTTCACTGGGAAATCACCTTGCCCGAAATCCACAAGGTCCAAAATATTTTGCAGTTCAAGTCCGGCCACACCCCCAATGAAAATATTTGATTTATCATGATTCACTCGAAGGCCCGAAGTGTCCCCAAAGTCCTTAAGGGCATTGACTAATATTTCAATGGAATATTTGTCACCCCTTGAAAAGAGCATTAGATCATCCGCATAGGCCAAATGAGTGATGCCAAGTGAAGCACATTGGGGGTGAAACTTAAAATTCGGTCCCAAGGTTCGCAATTTAATTAAACACGGAAAATATTCAAGACAAATCAGTAATAATAATGGGCACATGGGGTCACCTTGCCTAATTTCCCTCCTCCCTTTGAAAAACCCATAAAGTGAGCCATTCAAAGAGACCGAGAAAGAGGCCGTCGACACACATTCCATTACCCATCCAACAAATCGCAAAGGGAAGCCCAAACCCTTAAGGACGTTTTCTAAAAACTCCCAAGAAATAGTATCATAGGCCTTGCTCAAATCCACCTTGATCATGCACCTCGGTGATATTCGCTTCCTCGTGTATCCTCTAACAAGTTCCTGGGCAAGGAAAAATGTTATCAAACATGAGGCGGCCATCCACAAAAGTCCCTTGGGCTTGGTCAATTAAATTCGGAAGACACGGAATTAATCTTGTGGCAAGGTTTTTTGTGATGATCTTATATAAACATTGGTACACAAAATGGGTCTATAGTCCGAGACCTTAGGGGAGTGATTCGTTTTAGCTAGGGATAAGAGCAATAATAGTATGGTTAATCTGTTTTAGCAATTTTCCCGAACGAAAGAACTCCTTTACCACTTGGACTATATCCTCCCCAATAGTCTCCCAATTCGCTTTAAAGAACGCGGAAGAATAGCCATCCGGGCCGGGAGCCTTGTCATTGCCAATATCCTAGTTAGCTTTTTTCCGTTTAAAACGCGTTTTAAACATGTACCGCTTTTTTGAACAAATAAACGCGTCTAAAACGAAAAATAATGTCAGTCCGTTTAAAAAGGGAAAAAAACTCATACTTCCCGTATAAAACGTATTTTTTCCGTATTTTTACAAAAAATAGAAATATGAACTAATCAATTGAATTAGTGCATTAAATGCATAGGAGAGAATAGGTTAAAAGCAAAAATTAAAACCTTCTCCTCGATCGTGACCCCATGTTTTTGTATTGTTACAATGCAATTATTAATCACTAAAAGTTTTTGCACGGCGGCTAAAGCTTCCCAAAAGACCAAAACATGAAATAATATTGGATTTATGATGTCTTTCCAATCAATCATATCAAATTAAGGTTTTTCTAAACCTGACATATTTTTAGTATAGACTTTTACACATAAACAATAATAAGCATAACAGTCGCACAACATACTTTTCTCATATGTCATTCATCATCTTGATGAACATAATGAGTTTGACTTAAGTGTTATTTGATGGTAATATAAAGACAATTATTATTATTCTTCATTTTTTGACTTTATTTTGCAAAATTTTGTCTTGGATTTAATTAGTATTTTTATTTTTTCATTGACTTATGAAATTACAAATTATTTCTGTATGTGGTAATGAGATTTGCTACTTTTTTTAGCGTAATGAGATTTGCCACTTGAATATGTGTATACTTTTATTTGTTTTTGCTATATATCTTATTTTGTGAAGTATATACTTTATATGTTCAAAATAATACCCCGTATTTTTTGTCCGGATTTTTGTAACATATACCGTATTATACACGTATACGTATTCACACGTTTTTAAAAGTCAATGTACTTTTCAACGAATTTTTGACCGTCTTTTTCATTCTTGTTACCGAATAAAAGACGTACGTATTAAATCTCATTTAATCCCGTACCGTATTTAACTAACTATGGCCAATATCAAAGAGGGCATTTTTAATGTCCGACGTAGTAACCGGGACAATAAGGCTCCCATGAGCACTTGGCTCAATCAAAGGGCCCGAACCTAAAACCAAAGGGTCCAAGGCATGGCAATCCAAATCGGTTCCAAATAAATCAACAAAGAAATTCACAAACTCATTACCAACTTGATCTAAAGAAGTAGTAATGATACCGTCCTCCAATGCAAAGGGAAGTATTTGCGTTTCTTGCCATATTTCTTTTGACAATTGCATGAAAATATTTTGTCCGCTTCAAGAATATGAGTAGCTTTGGCCCATTGTTGGTAGAAACTAGCTTCGGCTTCACTAAGGAAGATAGCCCGTCTACTAGCTTCACCCAATTGGACTTTGAGCTCCTCATTTGCCGGATCAAGTAGCACCAATTTATGCAAATCTTTGAAGTCCTCTTTTGCCCTCTTTGCCTTGTCGGATATGTGGCCAAACTCTTTGGCATTAAGAATTTTTAGAGGCCTTTTGAGCCCCTTAAACTTCTTTACCAAAATAAATTGAGCCGATCCAACACAATTCAAGTTCCAATGTTGCGCTAAAATGTTAGCAAAGTCATGATGTTTTAACCACATATTAAAAAATGTAAATGGTTTTGGTCTAGGTGAGGAATTAAGGAGTATTGACACAACGGATGCCGTGTGGTCAAACTCCACCTCCATCTCATGGAAATGAACCCTACACCCAACACTATTTTGTGCCCATAAATCGTTAATCAAAACTCGGTCGAGCTTAGCCCATAAAACGCCTCTATTCCAAGTAAAGAACTCTCCCGTGGAGGGGGCATCTTGTAGGCTAGCCGAGACTTTAAAGTCCACTAAGTGTTGCATAACATAGGCCAGTTAAAGTCCACCTCCGTGGTGTTGGACGATATAACAGGGACATGATGCGGTAAAACCTCCATAGAACCATTCAGTGATCCAGAATGTGCCGCGGCATGAGGATCAGTTGAGTTGGAAGAAACAACCGGAAAGGAGGAAGGTAGAACCTTCATATTGGTGCCCTTCTTTTTCAGTTTCTCCCCTTCCATGGCAGCCTTTTTGGCAGCCAAATACTTGATTTTGTCATCGAAACTCTTGTCCTTTGGTGGTGGGGTTCGAAGCTGCTTGTTCTTCCTTGTCATGGCCGAAGCTCAACGAGGAAGATGATGAACAGTACCACCCTTAAACCAGTGCAATGCGAGACAGGAAAAAAGTACATTAAAGATAAAAACAAAAACAAACTAGATCCAATGGAAATGTTTGGACCGAAACCTAGTTCTCATGTTTTGCCGCCTTTTATTCTTCTGAAATTTCTTGTATATTTTTAGTTGTGTGTGGAAGTTGTCTGCAAGCAGACAATTCTCCAAGGAATTGAGCTCAGTTTGCGTCAGATCGTACTGTTCAATTTGGAATTCCTTATATCTTCCTCATTTGAAAAAGGAAGACGACGGTTGCTTGTTGTTGCATGTCTCAGAAATTCATATGAGAAGAATGAGTCATCATAGTGATCAAATCTGTCAGAGGCGTCTAAGGGTTAGTTTGCAAATGCTTAAAAA